TAAAGAGTTCGCCTAGGCTAGGGAAAGGGCACAAGTCAAGATACACACACACTATTCATAGCTTTTTTGAGTAATTTTTTGTCAAAAATACATTTTGGAATAATGATTTGATGGAAAATACATGGTTAAAAAATAAGGAAATTTTTTGAATTTACATGTAATATTATTTTATTAAAAAATGTATAGTTAAAAATAAAAGAAAGAAAAATACATTTTTGAAATAATGGGGACAAAAAATGGCTCAAAGTTGAACGTGCATTACACGTTATTTTGAAATACTCTATAAGTGCTGTAAAAATAATATTTAATTCCAATTTGTTGAGATGAATTGATGAGTCTCAAACGAATTAAAGAAAATAAAATTCAGAATATGAATTTAAGGTACGAAAACTACACTATCAAAACTCAACATCTATGATTCAAATCTTTTGTGACGATGAAATAATACAAATGAACTGAGCAACATTTTTATAATACATTTAGTGCATAAGAATTAATTGTTAATATATGAATTTAAACACCCATTAGAATTTCTACATACATGAATAGAAATAAATTCATCTATAATAACTCTAAATTCAAGTAGATTAAGATTAATTAAGTTAAGATTCAATGAATCTAGAATAATGTGAATGTTAATTAATTGAAAACTATTAATATGAAATTAATACTCCATCCGTCCCATATATATAGGCTGAGTTTTCTTTTCCGTTTGTCCCAAATATATATGCTGGTTTCTTAATGTAGAAATTTTTTTCTATTACTTTACCAATACACCCTTATTAAATATTTCTCAATTAATATGCTACCATCTTGAAATCATCCAACTTCACACATTCCAATACTTGGAAACACGGAACAAGCAACCTGATTTCATCTAATTGCTGTGTCTTTTCAACTTCTGTCTTCTCTTTTTGTCTCTGTCTTCAGCATTAATAAACTCATTTCTGTTAATGTTAAACAATTCCATGAGAGAACGAGTATGAGCTCCGAAAATCATCCACACTCCATGGAAGATACATGTACATCAATTTTACGGAGTAATTTAAACTCAAAGAAAGCTGTGAGGCCGTTGCTTGATTTGAATGCTCCGCCAACTAAAGATGGTTACGTTTCAGCTTCTCAGGAATATCAACGTGTTGTTTCTCGGATGATCAAAATCTATCTACCAAAAATCTACGAGGACAAGATTGTTGACATCAAGAAATAGTATATCCAAATACCGAGAAGGCTTGCTCATAAACAGCATAGTAGGCATCTTGTTTTCTTTCTACAGCACATTTCCTTCTGGTGTTTACGGATGGTGTGGATGACATGTCCTTTTTTTTTTTTTTTTAAATTTCAATTCAGTTTAAGTTAAGTTAATTTCAATACAAGTTCAGTTTATGGATGGTTCAGACGACATGGCCTCTTTTTTTTTTTTTCAGTTCAGTTTATGGATGGTGTGGACGGCATGACCTGGTGTTGAGTAAATTCAGTCCAGTTTAAGATCAATTTAAGTTAAAATTTTAAGATCAATTTAAGATCGGTTCAATTTAAGATCAGTTTAAGATCAATTAAAGATCATTCAAAAATCACTTAAAGATTAGTTTAGTAAGTGAAGGTTGATCAATTTAAGATTAGTTTAAGATCAATACAAAACAACTAACACAACCAAATGATATCATTCAAAAATCAAAAGCCAAGCCTCAAATGAGCTCTGAACATGTCTCAATATCTTAGACACTCTAGGACACAGGCAAAACACTGAAATGATGCAACTAAAGGAAAAGAAAAAAATACACATAACATAAAAGTACTAATTCAGAGTCCTTAACGATCTCGAATGGCTAAAATCCATCGTATGCAACAGCAAAGCGATTGATCTGATCCGTCTCATCGTTCCCTATTTGGAAAGGTATTATGGGCCCAAATTGGAGCTCGTATGCCAATTCTACAAATTACCCGATTGAAGTTATTCGGTAGAATTAAGAGCTGCCTCCGCCGTTAGTAAAACTTCATGCTCTAACTGAATGCAATTCGGTAGTTGCCCATCTCTTATCAATTTTTGTTTGTTCATATGTGGAATCCTGTAATTGTTACCCCCCGAATTTTTCATCACCTCAATCATGCAAGATTGCAATGTCAGAAACACATTGTTTAACTCTTCGGTAGGAAATGTCTGAAAAGCATTGTCCACTGCTGAAATGAAGTCTTCAATTGTAGTTGGAGACTATTGGTGTTGAAATGAGTCAATGGCTCTAAAAAAACCAAGGTCTAAGACATTCATATCGGAACTGTTTGGAGGTTGACAACATAAATGAATATCGAATCCATCCTTTCTCGCTGCTTCTACGAAATTGATATCATTAACATCGAAATGTGGCCTTGCATTGTCTTGTTGAATGAAGATGGTCCTAGAACTTGAACATGGCCATTTCTGGTTGATTGCAGGCAGCAACTTTTCAATCACACATGAACGGATCACAATTTTAGTTACCGACACAATAGGCCTCGACTCCAAAGTCCCGGCTACACGATTCTTACTATTCCGCTTGGCAGTTTCTTTTGTCACGAACGGCCATATTCCAATTTTGCCATTGAATTCTTCGTTTGTAGTAGAATCAACTCGTGGACGAGCAATGGCAGCCAAAAACATTATCTTTGTAATAAACCTTTTACTCTTACATGTGCGAAAGGGCTCCGTTTCATCCGGATGGAGATAATACTTTTGCGATGTCTTGGACATATAAAACCACTTTTCATCAATATGAATTTGATTATGCATGTTAACAAACGTAGGTGTAGATGAGAGGGTACAGTCATCCACCATTGAAAGGCAAAATTCCAACCGTGTTTTCTTGTTCTCGGCTGATAAATATGGTTTCACTGCATTCGAATGTGGTCGAATATGTCCTTCTTTAAGTCTCCTATGAACGGTTGATTTCGACATGTCCAAAGCCTTCGATAAAGATCTTATATTTGTTCAACGACGGAAAGGAATATCCTTTATTTGTTCGAACTGTATTTCGACTCTATTTCGATGTCTCTGATTCAGTAGCCTAGAAGAGAAATCTGGTACATCACTATTTTGCAGTACTAAAATGTTTTCCGTCTTGCCAAATTCTAGAGACTGATCTAGAAGATATAGAAACGAGTTGGCAACTTTCGAAATTATTCCTTTTGCTAACTTTCTGTTTCGTCGTTCATGGATGAGCATCTCAAATACTGCTCTTCTTGTATCACAGGATAAATTTTTTTTCTTGTTTGGATGAAGCATATTTGTAGCAACAGTGTCGGTAGTGTCAACAGAGTCAACATCTTCCGGAAATTGATTTAAATCAAGCTGAAAATTCTAGGGGAACATTGGAATGGTTATCAGTTGGTGTAGACATTGGAATGGAAAACCTTTTTGATATGTTGTTCAGTTTTCTATTTGTGCTTAAATCTGTCTTTGTATTTGTATTTATAATGTGCAGTCATAAAATTTCAAATACAAATTGGTGTTTTCATTATGAAATTGGCGGAATGGAAATTGGCGTTTTCATTTTGAAATTGGCTGATTTCATGAAATTTGGCAGAATGGGAAATGGCGTGTTCATGATGAAAGTGGCGGATTACATAAATTTGGCGGAATGGAAATTGGCGTTTTCATTACGAAATTGGTGGAATGGAAATTTGAATGGAAATTTATTTATTATGTGCAGTCATAAATTTTGATTTTCGTCCCTACCTGGTGTGCTTTAACCTGGGTTCTTTTATTGTCTTGTTTCAAAAAATTCAAATTTATGGTTACAAATGATTTTCATCAAATTAACTACTGAAAATTGAATAAGGGTAAATTAGGAAAAATCTTGACAAAAATTAATTTTCCAACGACATTAAATGAGATTTCTCAATCCGTGTGAAAAACCAAACAAGCCTGTATATATGGGACGGAGGTAGTATATGATAAGGGTTTTGTAGTATTTATTACATATTGAAAAACGAAAAATAAGGTATTATTGAAATATTTGAATTGTAGCAAGATTATGCCCCCATTTGACACCCATTTTTTGCCAATTTTTTCAATCCATTTTGCTGCAGTTGTGGGCTCCGTCTTAGACCACAAGGACGGATCGTATGTCATTACATGACATTGTTTTTTAAGATTCCGAATCTGCCCTTGAATTGATGGTAGGTGGCTTTCAAATGTTTGTGTTAAAATGATGGAGGGCAAGGATGTAAACAGCCAATTGAATTTGGTGGCGAAATTGTCCAAAAAAATAAAACATCATTAAACATGCTGACACAATGGTTGAACGACATTAATTATGTTGACAAAAAATTCTGAATTTACACATTCAAATGTCAAGCGTGAACTGTTGCAAAATGAGATGAAAAAAAAAAGGGTGTCAAATGGATGCTAAAATCGTCAAAAAAAATAATTTTCATTTGATGTGATATAATATGGCATGGAGATAACTTTTGAAATTGTTTGAATTCCTTACTTGAACAAAACTACATCTCCTGCAATCGTGCTGAATATTTGACGATACCTTTCGTAACTTTATAGAAAATAGATTATTAATTTACGATCGCAACTTTGCTGAACTCTTTTTTTTTCTATAAATGAATTTGTATTTTTTAGCTCATTTTTTACAAGCAGTATAATTTACTATAATTTACTATAAAATTCGATACACCCTCTTTCCTCCATAATCCAATGCGTCATACAAACCCGCACAAAAGATTTTGGAAGTCTATTACGTCAAATGACTCAAAAGATTGTGTACTTTTGAAAGAGATATGCACAATGAAACTATAGACTGAAATAGTAAACAGTCACATCATCGAGTAGAGATTCTCCTCGTAATCTTGGCTATTAAACAAGGAAAAAAGTTGAAATTTCCAAGTTTCATGGAAATAGTAAACATCAGACAGGGGCTAATTGTTCCATATGAATCAGGAAAATCAATTTCTTGTTATATTGGTGGGGTGAGGTGGAGTTGATGTTGATGTTGATGTTAAGCTCCAGGGACATGCCGATCATTTCAACAGCCGGAACCCACCTTTTGGATGCCGAAACTCCTCCTCCGTTAGACGACGTGGTTCATGGCTCTGTCGATTTCAAAGGCCGACCCGTCACACGGTCCGGATCCGGAGGTTGGAAGTCCGCTTTCTTCATTATAGGTACACCAAATGCTACGCAATTTCACATTCGACAGTTTATAGCAAAAAAATGGTGTTTGAATTGTTCGTTATTATTATTTTCAATTTGTTAGGTGTTGAAGTGGCTGAAAGATTTGCTTACTTTGGAATAAGCTCGAATTTAATGAGTTATTTGACGGGTCCTTTGGGCCAATCCACCGCAACTGCGGCAGAGAATGTGAATGCATGGAATGGAGCGTCGGGGCTTTTGCCGCTTTTGGGTGCTTTTGTGGCCGACTTGTTTCTCGGTCGATACTGGACCATTCTCATTGCCTCTGGGCTCTATATCTTGGTCAGTCTTAAGAACGTTTCTACTCATCCTACATAGCCAAGTTAAAACTCTTATACTACTTGAGCATGTACGCCAGTTTTAATTGCATATGCATCTTTCCAGGCGATCATTTTGTACTGTTCAAAAAATTCAGATTGATACTTGTCCGTGTAGGTTACTACACAAGTGTTAGATGTTGAATTTTGATGTGGAAATATGCCAAGGTTGTCGAGCCTTACAGAGGAGGCTATGATCCAAACATGAATGGTTGAAAACACTTTGTCATGTCTTATAATACATCATTAATATTCAAATGAATATTCCTTGTTCTTTGGATTGGCTATTTGTCACTACGGTCTACTGGTAAGTAAGGAGCCACCAAAAGAACTTCCATTTAAAATTAGATCTTCTCTGTCTTTTTGGATCAAATTTGAGGCCTTTTGGTGCTATGATTTCTATGGATCTTTCTGAATTTCTATGTTAAACTTGGTAGCATTGCACATGTTATGAAGAAAATCCATTTTACTTGATTGAGTTTGTGATCCTTGGTTTGTTAGTTACTGATTTTCTGTATGTTGTGGAATTTCGGATTCATTGTGAGGATGCTCATATTTGTGTTCTCTGATAGTGTTCATGTTATTATACAAATACGAAGTGGGATTCTGCATCATTATTTCTACTTGCGTATGTATGATAATAAAAAATTTGGAGGCCTGTGATTTATGTTTTCTTTTGCCATGCACTCCTCGTTAATATTAAAACTCGATTAAGCATTTCAAGTCTGGTTTAGGTTGTATGCTTCAGTTTTCTACTTGAAATCAAGGGTATGGCTGAAGTTTCAACACTTTCCCTCAACTGAAAGCCATTACTAAGCCATTCTGTTCATTGGACACTTTCCATGTAATTCTCTGCTTGAGCATATTAGGAAGATACTAATAACCCATTTGGCTTATTCATTAATAAATAGTATAAATCTGAGTACAAAAGGCTTATCTTTCTTGAAGAGCTCACGATACAACGATTCTTAAAAATACTTTTCTTCTGGGAAATGCTAATCAAGTTCTTTCTGGATTTTTATGGATCTCAGGGACTTTGCTTCTTGTCCACATCTGTTGTTCTCTATTCATTCAAATCTTCTCAATGTCAAAATGCTGCAAATAACAAGGCATGCTCTGTGCCACAGTTTCAAATTATTATCTTCTATTTCTCGTTGTATTTAGTTGCAGTAGCACAAGGAGGGCATAAACCTTGTGTTCAAGCTTTCGGTGCTGAGCAGTTTGATGAGCAACACCTACGAGAATGTGAAGCCAAAAGTTCATTCTTCAATTGGTGGTATTTTGCCATGAATTCAGGGATTATAGTGGCTCTCCTTATTTTGTGCTACATTCAAGACAACCTAAGTTGGGGTCTTGGCTTTGGAATCCCCTGCATTGTTATGTGCCTTGCACTAATTCTATTTTTGCTTGGAACAATGACTTACCGGTTTCGCGTGCAAAGTGATGAAAGAAACCCATTTGTGAGAATTGGTCGGGTATTCCTGAATGCGGCTAGAAATTGGCGGACTACCCAGACTGCAATATCTAAGGAAGAGGAAGCTCAGGGAATTCTGCCTTATCGAGGCTCTGAACAGTTCAAGTAAGTCAGCAGTTGACTACCCTTGCGTGTATTTTGATATTTGGAAAATAAAATTTCTTTTGACCTTTCTTTGGTGCATTTAGGTTTCTATTGTTAGTGTCATTGAGTGTCCTGAGGACTGTCTGTCTTTATGCAATATCCAAGGTCGCTTGGGTTTATTGCAGTTGATTCATTATGGAAAATACCATTTATCAAATGTATAAAATTTGCCATTGTAAATGTGGTAGACACGTGACATAACCTGGAATCACAACAAACTAACCCTTGTTCCCAATAAATTTGGAGATGGCTACATGGAAGCTTCTTGTCCTCTCTTGGGTTCTTAATAGATCTAGTGTATGACTAACCCAACTACATCCTTACTGACATCAAAGAATCTAATTTTGATCTAGCCCTCCCTTTTTCTAACTTCTCCTACCAAGATCGTGTCATTCTTATGAACTGAAGCCTCTCTATGTCTACACAAAACATGCCTCAATCACCCAATTTGTCATTCCCTTAATTTATGTTCAATCGGCTCCACCTTCACCTGTTTGCATCTATTCTAATTTCTTATCCTATTTAGTATAATTCTATCTTAGCATGCTGTTTTCCTTCGACTACTTGCATCTTATGAGCATTTTACCCTTTAACAACCCAATACTCACAACCATACAACATAGCAGGTCTAACCACATCTTCCTATAGCACTTCTCTGTTTCATTTAACCCACTCGAAGTCTATGCATTGCAGCCTTGACAATTCCTGTTTTCATGCTGATAATCGGACTTTTTGGGACAATAAAGTCCACTATATTAACTCTGTTATAATACATCGATATTGCTTTACTGTAAATCTTTGCTTTACAAGATTGAAATAATGGAATCAGTCTCACTTTGTTTCATTATAATCTTTCTGATTTGTAACAGTTTTCTTAATAAAGCATTGCTTGCACCTGATGGTTCAAAGGAAGACAGGAAAGTCTGTACCGTCACAGAGATTGAAGAGGCGAAGATAGTTCTAAGGCTTGTTCCAATATGGACTGCATGTTTGGGATTTGGCATTGTATCTTCACAATCATCGACTTTTTTCACCAAACAAGGACTTACAATGGATCGTTCTATCTCGTCTAGCTTACAAATACCAGCTGCTTCACTTCAATCTTTTATCTCCATTGGCATTGTTGTCTTCGTTCCAATTTATGACCGTATTTTGGTTCCTATTGCAAGAGCTATAAGTAACTCGGGCATTACAATGCTTCAACGAATCGGAACTGGGATAGTTTTATCTTTTCTTTCCATGGTAATTGCAGCTTTAGTCGAGAGGGAACGCCTGAAAACTGTTGCTGAGTATGGACTTGTGGATAAGGCGAATGCAACAGTGCCAATGAGTGTGTGGTGGCTGCTACCTCAGTATTTGCTTATTGGAGTTGCAGATGTATTTACCCTGGTTGGCCTCCAAGAATTCTTTTACGACCAGGTTCAAAACGAGCTGAAAAGTATAGGCCTTGCTCTATATCTCAGTATATTTGGCATAGGGAACTTCTTGAGTAGTTTTCTCATCTCTGTGGTGGAGAAAGCCACCAATGGCCCGGGTCAAGACTGTTGGTTTTCAAATAACCTTAATCGAGCTCACATCGACTACTTCTACTGGCTACTCGCAGGCATTAGCGCTGCTGCATTTGCTGCTTACTTATACACTGCAAAATCTTATATTTATAATAGAAGAAACACCCTCTGAAGTTGCATAAATAAAAACCGCCTTGACAAAATGCCTTGTAGAAGAGATACATTGTGCAATCAATGCCAGAAATTAATAAAAATTAACACAAAAAAATGAAAGTTCAGCGTTTCAAATAGTGACAGATTTTTCCCTAACATTTCATTCGTTGAGTCATCACCCCAAACCTTTCAAACCGTTGCAATTGTGACTCAAATGGTCGGTTTCCTTCCAATATGTCATCAGCTGACCAAAAAAATTAATTTTGACCACATTTTAATCAATTTAAAATAGTAATATGATAACTTTATATTTTGAATAATGTTATTTATTATTATCTTGATGGAACATGAGTCCATACGGGATAATGTGATTGGACAATTCAATTTTTGTAAGAGAGGGAGAAAGAAATGTAAGAGAAAATGGGTTGCCAAATAGTTCGGGTTCCTTAGCCCATACCTTCCCTATCTCAGGGGTATTTACAGGACCCTGATGCCACGTACTTGTTCAGCAGTTATTGATGCCACGTACCTGTTCAGCGGTTATTGATGCCATATGTCCACGTAACTCTTCTCGCATCCTCCACGTTCTGAAAGGATGTACTCCACTACTTTAGCAGTTGATTGTAACCATAATTGCCGTTGAGCGGTTTTCGTCCGATTTGTGGCCATATTTTGGGTTAAGCATGGTGTTGGCCTCATAGTGACAGATGGCCTGGAGTGGTTGATGACCCGTATAAATATAAAGTACCTCGTAGTAGTTGTCGGCCTCATGATAGTAGTTAGCCTGTAGTGGTAGAGGACCCATGTGAATATCGACGGCCTCATGGTGGTAGGCGGCTTGTAGTGGTAGAGGGCCCATGTGAATGTATAGGGTCTCATGGTGGTAGTCGACCTCACATGAAGTGCTCTACGTAGCCTGTCTATCAAGTAGTCTTTACTTTGTGGTCATCGTAGATCGTTATTGATGTTATCCTATGTCAGGCTCTTTAACTTCTCCTTTAATTTTTAAATGGTAGTGTTGACCTTAAAAAAAAAAAAAGAATTCTAACAATTTCCACATTAACACGAATTCCACCAAGGAATGAACTGATTCTTCAACAATAACCAAAAAATTAATTTCTCCAACAAAATACAATATTCCACCTCTTCCAATGAATCTAAGAACTACTCTGCAGAATTACCTCAAATTCCCAAAAAATCATAATGATTTTGAATTAACCAAAATGGGCCGTAACATATCCCAAAGTAGAATCAATACCAAATGCTTTATAGAAGGCTCATTGCTAGATTGTATACTTTCTACTCCACTTAAAACGTGCTCAACAAAATCAGCATTCACATACCTTTGTCAAACGGATCCAACTGAATACAATGGCAACACAAGTGATGGCAGCATTCACAAATGACATTATCCATATCTCCTGAACTCCACTGAACCATATTCTTCAAATTTGACCATTTATGAGCTCCTAAAGGTATTGTACCAAACTGAATGTCCACCACGGTACCGAACTTGTGTTAATTGACTTTTCTAAATTGAGCACGACCCTGCAAGATGTATAATTGAGATATTTTTTGTCCCTCTAATACAACTTGGGCACCCTTACAAATTTTCAAAGCCCCACCTCCACTAAAAAACTCATAATCCTTTGAATCAAGAATAGACAACGAAATGGAATTCTTTTTCAAATTTGGAACATGTCGAACCTAGCCAAGTGTTTTAATTATCTCATCCAAAAACTTCAATCTGACTGAACCAATTTCAACAACCCCGACAAGATGCTTTGTTTCAATAATAACCACGACATATTTGGAAACAGTTTCATATGTAGTAAACAAGTCCTTATTAGGATACATATGAAATACACATGCTGAATCAAGAATCCAATCATCTTCCGATTTAGACTCAATGTAAGAAATAGCTAAGAGATCTCCATCACTTACAATGTTCTCCTCGAGGTCTGCTTCGCCTGAAATATCTGAATATTTACTTGCAGCCATCATTTCTTTATTCTACAATTTGTAGCAATCCTTCTTCATGTGCCCCTTCTTCTTCCAATAGTTACAAATCTGATTACTGACCTTAAACTTCGATCTGTCCCTTCCAGAACCATCATGAGAAACCAGACATTCTCCATCTCTNAAAAAATAATTGCAAAAATCCAAACATTTATCTATCCATCCATGAGGTACCCTTCTTCTTGCAGTAGTTACAAATTTGATTAGTGAACTTAAATTTCGATCTACCCCTTCCAGAACCACTATGAGCAATCAGACATTCTCTACTTTAGCCTCAGAAACTAGATGCTTCATCTTCTCTTTTGAATATAAAATATCATATACCTTCTTTATGGTGAGAGTATCACGACTATACAAGATCGTGTCTCTAAATGAAGAAAACGAAGTAGGGCAACAAACACAATAGGATCAATGTCAAATCTTCTTCATCATACTCTACTTCCAAAGTTTTCAAATCAAAGACGATTTCTTTAAATACAATTAGGTGTTCTTCGAACGATCCTCCTTCTGCCATTCGATGAGAGTATAAAAGCTGCTTGAGGTTCAACTTGCTCGTTAGACTCTTAGTTATGCACAATTACTCCAACTTCAACAATAAAGCAGCTGTTGAATTCTCCTTCAAAACGTCCTAAAGAATAATATTTGATAGATGCAAATGAGTGTGAAAAATTGCCTTCTTATCGTTCCATAATTTCTCCTCCGCGGTCAAAGTTGCGGGCATCCTATCAATTCCCAGCAACACATCATCCAAATCCAGTTGTGTAAGTACTACACTTGTCTTAACCCTCCATAGTGAAAATATAGTGTTCTGACCCAAAAGTGGAATGTCATACTTCATGGAAATCATTACGAATAAAAACTTCGAACAAATGAAACCTTACGCTATTACGAAACTGCTGAACCCGACGCTCTGCTGCCAATTGTTGTGAAACAAACCACCGGATTGAGATGTTAAAATTATATGAAAAATAATAATGAAGTATATGATTAAACAAAAGAATAATAAAGACAAGAATATGGTAGAAAAATTAAGAGATTTTATAGACTCAAAAATAATGGAGAAGTGAAAAAATTACAATGGATTATATAATTCTAGTAATCTATTTTCTTACAATTCTAAAATTGTATAGAGGATCCTTGTATTTATAGGGAACATAAAGGGGAAGTTTAACCCTCTTTGTAGAGTTGTTGATGAAGTAGAATGCCAAAAATCGAGTCCAAAATGAAATATGAAAAAAAAATTGGACAAACGAAAGCAGCACGGTAGCGCCTAGGCGTTATACCTCGGGTGCCTGGGCGTTGGGGCCATTCCGCGGGCGCCTGGACGCTACAAGCCGGCGCCTAATCACTGCGTCTCGAGCAAATTTCTTCTAAAAGTATTCCAAAGTGTTTTTTTCCATTCTGAACTCTTTTTCAAATCTAATACCAATTTTCAACTCCCAATGGGCATTTAAAGTAGAACTTCAACTTGAAAGAAATCTATATGTTGGAAGAAAACCAATTAATGGTTGTCCCACATAGGAAAATGAAGAAAGCAAAAATCACTTTATATAGAATTACACTTTGGAAGGTTGTGATCATGTGTAGCATAGAGACTCTCTCCTCGTGCGCACACAGGGGGATGCAAATCACGGACCAAAATAGGTTTCGAACTTTGAACTCGTATGCGAGCGTGAGCTCCGCACACGAATGTCAGACCGGATTGACCAAAAATTGGCCACTTAGGAGGGCCTATGTTTTGGTATTTGTTTTTGCTTTCTAAAACTAACTTTTGATTTCTTAAACTTCAGAAACATTTGAAACTCCCGTGGTTATTACCAATGAGTTAATGGATAAATTTTTGGGTGTTAAAAGTCTATATATGAGAATAGTTTTCCATAATTCAGATACCCAAAAAAGGGAATGAGAAAAATCAAAATTTTATATCTGCATAGTTTACAGTACTGTGTCTCTGTCGAATTTTCTGGTTTCGAATTTCTTGGTAGTGATATTGTTCAGATACTAAATCAGTTCGTCGGAGTAAAATCTGTGGTGCTCAAATTCTACTGCTTCATCATTGTATCATGGGAAGTAGACGCTCATATTAAACCTCAAGCACGTACGGTGAGTGGGCCAATCTGTTTTAAGACAATTGTATTCGCACAGGCCTTGGTTTAGAATTTCTTTTACTGCAATTTAAATTATTAGTTCTGTTATTTTATTGCAAGTTGCAAATAAGGTATTTGTTATACGTGAATACGGTGTCTCTATTACTTGCATATACGGCATATGTAAATTGTAAATCCACTAAGTTACATATACGGTATCTATCCTGCATATATGGTATTCGTCCCGCATATATGGTATCTGACCTGCAAATACTGTATATATGCTGCATATACGGTATATGTCCTACAAATACGATATCGGTCCTGTAAATACGATATCAGTGCTACAAAAACGCTGTTTGTCAATATTTACTCGTTAAGCCGATATTTATCCACTTTAGTATACTAACAACAATTATTTTCACGAACCATGCCGAACTGGATATCTCAGAAAGATAGAAATTATTTTCTAAAGCCAATGATCAAGTTTTTTCCTGAATTTTGGCAGGATTTTCACCCTTTTGGAGAATTTAGCAAGTTGTCTGTAAAAAAGGGAGAATGTGAAGTTTTCGACGTTACTTTGGCCAAAAAAATTTCCTTGATCGAAGAATGCTAAGATTTTCGAAAGCTGTGATCCCCGTTTTATTTTTAGTCAAAGCTCGTTTTTTGATAGTAGAAGTTTGGAAGTTAGATTTTCAATTTTTTTTTCATGTTGTGAAAATGACCCTATTTATACACAATTTTTAGAGGCCTTCTGGTCATTTTGTGCGTTAACAATCCCTCACCATTGTGTTGGACTTTTTAATAGGTCCAATTCTCTAGGTCTTTTGAGGGTTGTGCTTTATGACATATCCTGCAGTTCATCGTGTCCCTGTTTGGGATTGTTCTATTGACATATAGGCGATTTTGTCAA